AACCGGTGGGTATGTTTTTTTTCTTTTTTTTAGTATAAGTGGAGTGTGAATTTAATTCACTCTTTTTTTATCAGAGATAGATGTCAAACTAGTTAAACTATGATTAGATTGACAACTACAAAGGAAAGTACGAGAGATTGGAAATCTTAAATTTTTATTATTTTATTTTTTTTACGACAATCTTAAATTTTTATTAGTGATGCCTATATTAATTAAGTTCATTAAGTAGCTCACTTTTTAATAAAAATGTCTAACTTTTTTTAAAGCTTTTCCATGAAGCATGCGATTGTGTAAGTGGGACAAAGTCTACTTGAATGACTCAAGTGCAAAGATTGATTTTTACCATTAAGTGAGTTGAGTTTGACCAAAGTAGTCTTAATTTCTTTAAATGAATTTAAAATTTAAATAAGTGGTAAGGATTAATTAATATACTCTATTAACAGAAGTTCCATTTTCTAAAGATTTGTTACTAGTTATAAGAGATAAAAACTATTTTTGTGAATTGTGATATTTTTTAAGTTACATTTGAAAACTCTTTTAACTTGTATGGGTTAGAAGGCTAACAAAAGCAATAATCTAAGATCATGCATATTGAATTATTAGAAGAACATATACGAAGAAAGGATCAAATCTGAATTCAATAATGTTATTAAATTTAGTACTGAAATGTTGAATTTGATCTTCCTCAACTACACACAAACCACTTGTTGGAATGTTGAATCCAATCTTATTATTAAATTCAGCAATACCTAAGTATTGAATTAGATTTTCCTAAGCTAAATACACCAAAACTCAAAACTCTCTACGCCTAATGGAAATGGGAGAACTAAAACATGTTTAGCTTATTTAAATTATAAACTCTTCCATAGATTCACATTAAGCCTAGTAAGAGTAAATGGTATCCATCTAAATAAACTTCATATTCATTGATTTCAATAATGGATTAATTACTCATAGATTACTTTTGTTGGCCCATTAAATAGTCCAACAATACAATTGAGGGCAAAATACATTTTTGGTCCCTGAAGTTTGAGGTAGGTGTCTACTTGGTTCCTCAAAGTTTCAAAATGAACACTTTTGGTCCCTGATGTTTGAGGTAGGTGTCTAATTTATCCCTGAAGTTTCAAAATGAATATTTTTAGTTTTTGAGGTTTAAAGTAGATGTTAACTTGGTCCCTGAAGTTTTAAAATAAACACTTTTGGTCTCTGAAGTTTGAGAAATAGTTTTAAATGGTCATTGATTTTTTTTTTTACTGTTAAACAACTAATATTAAAATAATTGCAATTAAATTTTTTTATTGTAGTTGTCGAGGTGACAAATTATATTAATTAAATAATATATGTGTAGGTGATGATGCTTTCTCCCTCATCTCCTCATCTTTTCCTCTCTCTTTCTCTTACCCTCTTCTGACTACCACCACGTCTTTGCCGCCACCGTCCGCCGTTCATATCGAACATATATCATTTAATTAATATAATTTGTCACATCAGCAACTACAATAAACAATTTAATTGTAATTTGTCACGTAGTTATAATATTAGTTAATTAACAGTAAAAAAAATCAGGGACCATTTAGAACTATTTCTCAAACTTCAAGGACCAAAAGTGTTTATTTTGAAACCTCAGACCAAGTTGATACCTACTTTAAACCTCAAGACTAAAAGTGTTCATTTTTAAACTTCAGGGACCAATTAGACACCTACCTCAAACATGAGACCAAAAATGTTCATTTTGAAACTTCAGGAACCAAATAGATACCTACCTCAAACCTCAGGAACCAAAAATGTATTTTGCCGTACAATCTATTAGTATATGTGTAGATCACACCTTTTATTATTAGAATATACAAATTCTAACAGTAGTGCCCCTTGTTTAGTTAATTGAATTTGTGGACAACTGCATGTTTTCACGTTTGAATTTGGACATGACTATATATTGAATTTTATAAGATGGTATCAATAGCCAATGAAACTTAGAACCTGGCTTTTTTTACCGAATGACCTGATATATTTAGTGAAATGAAATTTGTTCACCCCTTGAAATTAAGTACTTTATCTTCTTTTAAGCTTACCCGTTCTCTGTGCTCGTGTGTTGAGTCAATTATTCTCTCACGTACGAGTGACATAAATAAAATAATAGGAAATTTATTTTACAAAAAGGAGACAGATTTTATTTTTCCTATTTTAGGTCATCCAATAATAAAATAAAACCCTCACCCCTCTGGAACAATTACTTCAATAATGTCACAAAAGTGATTATTTATATCCTTAAGAAAAATAGGGAAATAACTAAAATACTAATTAACAAATTAACTAAAACAATGGACTAAAATCAATAACTTTAACTAGACTAATTATCTAATATCTCTCTCTTATAATTCACTATTTGTGGACAGTTCTTTTAATTTGATTAATTTCAAGTTTAAAATTTAACTCAATAAAATTGAGAGCTTATAAACGTTCATTTTGATTCATTGGACTAAATATGCATAGGTAAAACGATGAAAACTAAAATCAAATTGACCTAACAGACTTACGTGAAGAATAGATATATTTGAAAGTAGCTAGGTTATTGGAATAAATAATCGGAACATTTAACTTGGTCCAAGTAACTACAACTAGTGAAGCCTTGATGAAGAAATTTTCACGAGGATCACAAGCATGCAAGCCAAGCAGGAAAGATAGTTTCTAAGTTGATCTTCCACTGAATTCAATTCAAAGCCAACAAGATCTCATCATCTATATCGCTCCGCTACCTAGCTGATGTCGTAAAAAGATAGATTCAGATCTTTTAATTACCGCTTGTGATTTTTGTGAAAACCGTGAACTTTTCAGAAGCTCCCCCCCAGGCCCAGGCCCCACCCACATATAAAAATCCCCATTCCGGCTATCTTCACAAGATCACCAAAACCAAGATCTTTTAATTAGAACTTGGAAGCAACAAAGAGGGGAGAAGAAAAAAAATGACAGTCTCTTTGGAAGCTCTGGCGATGGCTGGGATGGACTCCGGCAATTGGGGCGTGGATTTTGACGAATGGGAAACCCAAGATTCGGACCAGTACCCTCCGCCGTATCTACTCGCCGAAGGGCCAGACAATGAAGCAGAGGAACCAAACTGGGTCGATAAATTTGGCGCCTTCCCGAGCCACCGTCGCAAAGTCGGCGGCGGCGGCGTCGATGGTGGTGAATGTGATGATGGCAGTTTTGTCGACATCATCGGTGCCGGTTCCGACTCATCTGAATGTGAGTGTCGGTGTAGCCTGAGGAGATAATTAATTACTTACTTGTGTGTGTAAAGTTTAAATTTTTATTAATTCTCTTTTTGTGCCTCCGATAAAGGACTTGTTATCTTCTCGATAAGTAAAAAATAGCTTTTTTTTGGGGATGTGGTTTAATTTGAGTGAAGATGTGGGAAGAAATCCCAGTCCATGTTGTTCATACAATCATGTTTATATCGTTATCATCTTACCTCGATGACTTTTAATGTAAATTATGCAAAAAATAAAAAATAAAAAAAGGGAGGGTCTCTTATTAATGAAGTTAACTTTCTAAAATATTAATGAAATTATCTTATATATTGTTCAATATAATATAAATTGAATTTTTTGAGAGACGTATAATATAAATGAATTGATAATGAGGTTAACTTAAAAAAAAAAACAAATAATTTCATTAATAGAAGTATAACACACAMAAAAAAAGTAAGAAAAGCACTTGTTTAATATATTCCAAATATTCAAACGATAAATTTATTGTTTTGCATGTTGTTTTGATTATCCAATTCAATTGTCTTCGAGATTAAATTTGAGTGTTAGGATTGAATTCGTCCGAAAATTTTAAGGTGATTTCACTCTAACAAATTGTTAATTAAAAATTTAAAATAGTTTCTTTTAACCCTTTGAATCAAAATGAATCTAAATTCTTTTTAGAAATAACAATTTTGTTCTAATATGTAGAAGGGCGTATTTGAATTCAACTTAATGCTACAACGACCAGTTGAACTATGCTCGATTTGGCTACAACATATTTTTGTTATTAAAAAGAACAATCATTTGTCTAATTCTTTTTTTTAAAGATAGAGACTAATTAATAATGATGAAATACATAGAACAAAAAAGATGTAATGGATTCTCTTGAAGTTTGTCCCACATCGCTTAGGGTGTGAAGAAGAGACGTACAAATGGCCTATAAAAGGAAATGGACGGGCTGCATTAGAACATACTTACCTGGACGGGGTTTTTGGGTGATCAGTGAGGCCCATGGCCTAGATTGGTGACCTCCATTGCACTTCGGAGGGGTGCCCGCCTAAGGTCTGCCCAATGCGGCAGAGCCTACGTCATAATTTGTGGCAGCGGGGGCCTGCGTTCGCGCGGCCCCTCCCCAAATTTCACTCTAAGCTTTTACCTACGTAACATCCCAACAGTTGGAGGAGTTTCAATTCTGAGACACCGGCGTGAACATTCAACGGGTTAGCTATGAGAAACTTTGGCTCTTTTCCGCCGGTAATTCTGCTGTTGGTTCTTCTTTAGTATATATGCTTCTAAATGTGGTCATACAGGAAGTGCATCTCTTCTGTTCGATGAAATTACGCTTACAAATGTAGTTGCTTGGATTGCGCTTATAGTTTGGCACGTCTATAATAATGAGAGTGAGAAGGGTTTGAAATGCTTGTTTGAGATAAATTGTAGGACATTAGGAAGCGGGTTTCAATCTTGTGTTGATCTGGATGCTTTAGTAGAGGGCAGATGTGTTTACATGGTTTGGCTCTAAAAGTTGGAATTCTGTGTTTTGGAGTCGTTAAGTCTTCTATTCTCTCTATGTATTCGAGGTGCGGGTCACTTTAATAGGCCTACCGTTGCTTTTGTAAAGTAAACAAAAAAGACCTTATCTCCTGGACATCAATTATATATTGCACTTCACACTAAATTTGGGTTAATGACTGAATGTCTGAGTTTATTTTGGGAAATGCAGGGTGATGAAATCATCCCAGATGAAATTGCTATCAGTTATGTATGGTTCTGAGTTTTTGTAATTCTGATAGAACCTCTAAAGGCAAAGCCTTTCGTGGTTGGATATTCTGAGACAATGTTATGCGATGAGTCAAATAACTCACCATGCACTATTCTCAATTTTGAACTCTTAAGACACAAGATCTTCCATAGTTTCCACAAAAATAGCAAAGAAGATTTGATTTGATCAGTTTAGGTTCTGTAATTTCTTCATGTAGTTCACAAGTTGGAGTAGTCAATATTGGTCGCTCCGTTCACTGTCATGCGATTAAAAACTCTATAATTGAAAATGTATCAATAGCTAACACACTCCTTGACATGTCCAGGGAAAAGTGGTAATTTAACCACCGAATGGAGGATATTTCGTAGGACACAAACAAACGGATATTATCTCATGGAATACATTGATCTCATCCTACAAGCAAAGTTGGCATCCTGCTGAAGCCATTGTCTTATTGATATGTATGCAAAATGTGGAGAGCTCGAGACATCAAGAAAATTGTTCAACTCAATGCAAGAGAGAGATGTTATGACATATCTATTTATGGGATGCATGGACATGCAGAATCTGCAATTGAGATCTTCGAACTAATGGAGTAGTCAAATGTCAAACCAAATTCGCCAACTTCTTTCTCTTCTCTCAGCTTGTAATCATACAGGCTTGTAAACTGAATCAATTTGGAAGTTGGGCGTTAAGAAAATTGTTTTGTGTTTCATTTCTTTTGAATGCATATATGCATACTTGTTGCTGTTGGCCTAATAGATTTTTAGTCACCTTTCTGGTGTAGAAACAATGTCTTTCTTTTTAAATAAAAATTGATTAGTTTGATATTTTATTTGAATAATGTTTCTCCATATTGGAAATTGATCGCTATCATTAGTAGCTACTTGAATGTTTGACATGAAGACATAACTTGTGAAGATGGACAACCAAAAAGCAGAAAAAATCTTGCAGTGCAGAATTTGAATTCTTCGATCTAGATGGATGACTTTCTTTATTCAAGTCAATTTTCAAGTTTGTATACTTGGGATTTGTTTTCTCTTTTAAATAAATGGATGGTGTTTTTCAGTTCAAAAACACTAAAATTAAACATTTTAATATATCTAGCGTAAAGAGCAGCAGAAAATGAACAGAAAGGGCATGCAAATAGTCAAAGTCAAACATTTTGACCTGGAAACTTCATTTCTTCATTTTTAACTGTTTGGTTTAGATATTTATTTATTATGCATAATGTCAACTATCACATGTTGGCATTAGTATAAGACTGCAGAGTGCGAAGTCGAGTTTTAAGTTATATTATTCTATAAATTTGATGATTTTTTAGGCTTCAAACTAGTTTTACAAATTAAATTACATATTTATAAATTCATCTATATTTTCCAACTCATTCTTATACAAATTTAACCTTCTCGGTATAAATACATGTTTGTTAAAACTACAAGTCAGATATCTTTGGAGAAGATTGGTGAGGTGACCACTCACTTTAATTTTTCAACTAATGACATTATTAATATGAAATAAGATTTTCTTTTGTTTTTTTTTTTTGAAGAAAGTATAAAATAAGATTTAAATAAAGGTGCATATTTATTTGATATAATTTGTAAATAAAAAAACAAACTCTTTGAACAACGTCAAATATGCAGAGAAGAAGAGTATTTTAATCAGATCGGCCACTTCATTGAATACAAAATTAGAGCGCACCAATATGTTATCAATATTTTAATATTCAGTCCCTCATTTTGCTTGTACATTTTTTATCAAATAAAACAAAAATTTCCTATACAAAGTTAAAATTTTCTCTCAAAATGGCGGATTTTTATTTATTATTATTTTTTTCAAGTTGAGTTTTTGATTGAGAATATACAAAATAGGTTTTTAACAAATTTTTTATTTTTTTTTAAAAGTCAGGTTTTTAACGAGTCTAATGGGTGTTTTAAATAAAATTCTAAAATACAATGGGTGTGATTTTTGTCCTTTCGTAAGCACTAAACTAGTGTTATAAAATTGCTGCCGTCTCCAACTCATCCCTGGCGTCTTCCCAAATTTCCATATCAGTTGACGTCTTCACAGAGTAACCGTCCTCTGGTTTTTCCGCTTATAACCACCACCACCCTTCACCTCCATTTCCCATAATCATTTTCAAGATTCCAACTTGATTCTGTTCTTCAACAGGGTTTTTTTTTTTTCGATTCAAGTTTCAAAATGGTCCGGTGTTGTTTAAGCTACGGATCTATCATGGAGGCGTGGTACCGCTCCTATTTCTCCAGAGTGGGTCTCAAATCCGCCACCACAGATCTCGGCGACGGCACCGTCATGCACTGCTGGATCCCCAAAACCCCCAAAGAAACTAACCCCAATTTGGTTCTGATCCACGGCATGGGAGCAAACGCAATGTGGCAGTGGAACAAGTTCGTCCGCCCACTCATCGCCCACTTCAACATCTACGTCCCGGACTTGGTCTTCTTTGGGGAATCCTACACCGCCCTTTCTGATCGCTCCGAGGCATTTCAGGCCCGCTGCGTAATGGGGGTTTTGGATGCGCATGGTGTACGGACTACAAACGCTGTGGGGATTAGCTATGGTGGGTTTGTGGCGTATAGCATGGCGGCGCAGTTTCCTGATAGAATGGAGAAGTTGGTGCTTTGTTGTACTGGGGTTTGCTTGGAAGATAAAGATATGGAAGATGGGATGTTTCAGGTGAAGTCAGTGGAGGAGGCCGTGAGCGTATTGCTTCCTCAAACGCCGGAGAAGTTGAAGGAAATGATACGTATTGCGTTTTTTAAGCCTATTAGAATTGGGCCCTCTTGCTTGGTTAACGATCTTATCGATGTGAGTACTTCTTCTTCATTTCAATTTGTTTCGTTTACTTGTCTTCTCAAATAAAAATTGATGAAATTGAGTGCTGTAGTTCGCTCAGCTTTGGAAAATTTCCTCCTCTGCGCTTTTCTAACTGCAATAAGGAGTCCAGTTTAAAAAAGAAGTTGTTACTTTTTTTTAATGATCAACATTGTGGTAGAACATATACAGATTGGTGATTGAAATTAAAGTTATGGGTAATGAGCAAAATTCTCAAAAGATTACGACTATGGCAACTTTAGTTACTTATGTTGAAGTCAAATATATGCTGGATACTGGCAGGAAATCATTATAGAGAACGAGAGAGGAATAAGTCAACATTCCGATCTGTCTGAGACAGTACTGTGGTTTTGTTTTCATGTTCTTCTTGACCTTTGTTTCTCTTTGGTTTGCCCCAAAGAATGTATGTGATGAGGAGTCTTGATTTCCTTTTGAGATGCCATGTGTAAGTCATAAAAGCAGGAACTCAAAAGTATGAGCACTTTACAGTTTACACTTTGTCTTGGCAATGACATGTGAACTGTGCAGGGCCTTGCTTCCTTCAACCCGAGGAAGCGATCGCCATACACATGAAGACCTTTACTTAATATCTCATCTTTGCCTAGTCAAATAATAGAAGATAGTAGTATTAGGTGATAAAAATATGAACCTGTGCTGAACGAGATTGCAGAAAGTATCACAAAGATATAGATTTGACATAACCTACAGTTTCTCAGTTTTCTGCATTTTCCTTTTCCAATCTGTTTGATTCTTTGACCCGCATTTGACATTGTTTCTACCTTATTTCTACACATTGTTCTTACCTCTTGTGAATGAGTTCCTACCAAATAGCTTAATGACATTTGGTCCTACTGCAGTCACTGTGTACCGAGTACCGTGAGCAAAAGAAGGAACTGATTCAAGCATTACACAAGGGAAGGAAATTCTCTAATCTTCCCAAGATTACTCAGGTTTGTATAATTATAGAAGATTTTAGAGTTTGGGTTCTTTTTAAAATGTTGCTCAACTCTTCTCATTGGAGGAATGACAATTGGACGCAGCCTACACTTATAATGTGGGGAGAGAATGACTTGGTATTCCCCATGGAATTGGCACACAGACTAAAAAGGTGCATTTCATGAACTTAATCCAGTTTCATACCATTGCTTAATTATCTTATTTTCACTTTGATTCGCGAAGAAGATTTCTCCGCAATCGCCTTATAATTGTTGTCTTCATTGCTCTATCCCGAGTCTTTCAAGTTGAGGATTGAAATCAGTTGCTTTTCCTTTCTATTTTGTGTCTTTTGGATCATCTCTTCATTTCTGCTATGAATTTACAGCCACATAGGTGATGGTGCGGAACTGGTGGTTATAGAGAAAGCAGGACATGCTTTAAATGTAGAGAAGCCCAGGGAGATGAAGAAGCTTATCCAGTGTTTCCTGGTTGGTGCTCCCCCTCCATCCATGGCAAAAAGACACCACGAAAATGGCCTCAAATCTGAGTGACAAAATTTGTATAGAAATTGAAAATGACATCTTTCCCAGAGCTCCCAATTTCCCTGCTTCATGGTGGCGTTCAGCTGCCTCTGCTTTTATGTTATGAAATTGATGTATATTTCCAACTTGTAATTAATGTAAAGTAATGGAATTCTATAATAGTGATAATGTGAGGTACTGAGTCAAGATTCTAGTGTTGTTTACGAAAATAACATTACTTTTCAGGCATGGATTGATATCGTTAGTGGTACCAAATAAATATTGAAAATATTATGACTGTCCTGTCCCTTTATTTGATTATTATTATTATTTTGTTTGCAATGATTTGAATTTGAATATTATTTTTTTTTGGAACAAATATAAATCTTAAATTAAGAGGACTTTGTCGGCTAAGTTATCATTAGTGTGTTTTATCTAATACTCATGACAACGCTTCACAGTTTACTTACCTCAATTGTAATTAATGAATAAAACTTTGATTCTCTTTGATAGTGTTTACCAAATATAATTAAATAGTAGGACTCACCTCAAACTTTATAATCTCATTACACTACTACAATCCCATCAATCTCATTCACATCCTTTATTCCGTGGATCTCACGTGTGTGTATTGTAATTTATGTATCACTTTTACCCTTTCTCTCTTATTGTGAATTAGATCCATATAATTTTTAATTAATTTTTTTATACTTTTATAATTTATTCTCATTTATATTCCAATTTTTATTAATTGATGTGATTTTATTATATAATATGATAAATTAATATTAATTAATATCAATAAATTTTTTAAATAGATATTATTATTTTAAATATTAGAATAATAAAACTTAATAATATCTTATATTAAAGTTTGGTTGTTCTAATAAAAAATATTTTATTAATATGTAATTTTATTTTAATTATTCATTATGTATTAATATTAGATAAATTATTATAATAAAATATTTTCTATCATATTATTAAGATTTATTATTATTATTATTATTATTATTATTATTATTATTATTATTATTATTATTATTATTTAAAAAAGATTAGCACAATAATATATTTATAATTAACTAAAAATGAGAAAGAGATATATTAGTAAAACAACAGTCATGGAGTAACATTACGGTGATCAACTTGGGGGAATGAAATAGTTGTTTGTAGAATCAGATTTGGAGCAAAGAAAAGAAAAAGAAATAAAATAAACACGAAAACCCAAAAAGGAAAAGAAAATCCGACCTGCCGGATTCGAACCAGCGACCTAAGGATACCAGTCAGGATAATCCCACTACAGTCCTCCGCTCTACCAACTGAGCTAAGGTCGGATTATGAATATAAAGCACCACAAATATAACTAGACCAAATATTTAAAGTTTCCAAAAAATAAAAAATAATTAAATAAATAACTCATTCTAAAAGGAACAAAATATAATATGTTTATAAAATAATCTCAACTTATGGTATCAGGTTTGTGGGAAACTTACCTGCGTTTATCTTTATGGGTTTCTAATTTTTCTCTTCGGCTCTCCAAAGTTGTGCAACAGAAAGAGGATAATTATTTTATTGGAGCCCACCTGGCTTGACAATATTTCTTAACGAAAGTTTTAATTTCAAAAATGGAAAAAAAAAAAGAAAAAGAAAAGGTCTATAAAAATTTTCCGTTGGAAGATTTTGAATGGAAATCATGTTGTCAATGTTGATTTTTATAATACTCTTCAAACTTCAATTTCATTACATATCTATACTATACTAAAAAGGAAGCATCTTTAAAAAACATTTTTAGACTATTTTACCCTTTACATTTTTAATGAATTACAAACATGTTATTTACTGCCTTTAAATAAAACCTTGAAATTCGAAATCCTGCCTTTAGGTTTTTACGTTGGAATTTTAAACATTTTTTTTTCACTGTAATGATTATAAAATTTAATTATAATTATAAAAGATGATATGGCATTCAATTAATTTGCAACCGAATGCCGATTGAATTTTTTTGGTTCACCGTTTCAATATTGCTAATTATTAGGGAAGGGTTACAAATTTAATTGTTATAATATTGATCAATAAAATAAAATCTCTCTATTCAAATTCCATTGAATAAAAAATAATTATAAATATTGGACACACATAATTCACTTGTGCTAACACGGAGAATAAAAAAACACTTCACCACCATGGATTCTTGCACTGACAAAAACTAAAGTGAAGAAATGGCTGATGGAGAGTGTCCAGCCTGCGCCGCCATTACTGGAAGACAAGCATCAGGTTTTTTCCTTTTTTTTTTTCTAACTGATTTTGCTTTTCTAATGATTTAATTCTCATAGGAATAGTAATTTACTAATATCTCTGTATATAGAGATCAAAATAAGAGGTTAAACAATCAAATGTTTTATATATTAATAAATAAAATTTATGAAAAATGAGACTGACTTTTTTCCATTATTTTTTATGTGACAATGTCAACCTGGGATGAAATGAATTAGAAGAATACTTGATTGTCATTTTACATTGATTATTGGTCGTCAACTTAAGCATAGCTATATTGGTTAAAATATATATTATCGAATAATATACCGTTTGAAGTCAAATTCTCATCCATATTAAATAAAACAAAAGAAATTTTATCGTTTACAAATTGTAATGTTTATATCAAATCAATAGTATGTAAAAAAAATATAATTAGATCAATATAACTTTTAAAACATAAATTTAAGTTATTTAGGTTTTTTAAGCTTAGGAAGAAAAAAAAAACTTATTGAATCCCACCATTGAAGTCGTAAAAAAAAAAAATTGATATGTTAGTTTTTATGGTACTTTTATGTGAAATTAATATCCTAGAGTAGCAAAATGTAATAGAAAAAGAATTTATTTCTTATTAAACCCTAATATATATATATATATATATATATATATATATATATATATATATATATCACAGCAAAATAAACCACACTAAAATAAATTTTCAGAACCAATAACTCGAAATCACTCCGATATGAAAACCTCCCACTCATCTACAATATTTCTTGAAAGTTGTTAATATTATAGAATACTTATAAGGACGAGGTTAGTAAATTACATAGCTAAAAAATAAAATAAAATACTCATAGCCGTAGATGAATGTAAGTGTGACTATTCCTCTTTTGTTATGTATTGATAAAAATTTTACGGAAGTCTTTGACAAATAATAATAAATAATTCATTAAAATTCCTAAATCAGTCTATTAATTTTTAATTTTTCTTTTCTTCTCAAGGGCATAATTTTGTATCTAATAGAATTCTATTAATACTTTAAAAATTTTAAGGATCTATAAGATAATAATTTTAAAAGCTATTGAAAGTTTAATAACTACTAAACACTTTTTTTAATTTAATAACGTATTAAGTAAAATTTTAAAAGTTGAATGATTAAACCTATAATTTTTTTTAGAAAAATTAAACTTGTAATTAAATCTGTATAATTATATTAATTTGATCAATATATTATATGTCATATGGGAGTTGAAACATCTTTAATTTATTTGGTTCAGTTTTAATTGGGATATTGGTATTATTTATTTAGTCTACTTTCATATACATATTTAATAGCAAATATTAGGATGAGGGTTTTCTTAATGTCTTATTGAGAAAATCCATTAACCAACATATTATCCGTATTTAAAAACTTTAAAAACTACTATCAATCAAAAATGTCAAAAATAAAATACCCAGAATTACATTTATTTTTGCCCACATCCTAATAGTTTAAGAACAACTCCAACAATGACATAAATATAAATTAGAAGTATTTAAAAATCTATTTAACTAAGGTTATATATAGAATAATTTTAGATATCAAAACTCAATTTTTCGTTTTTGTTTCTAAACAAGATGTTCTACTTATTAGTATTTTCTTAAACTTAGATTTCAAAAATATTTTTAAATCTTAACCAAAATTCATCTTTTGATAAGAGTTTTTTATTTTAAAAGATCAAACCCAACCTTCATTAAATTAATCTAAATTTTTAAATTTAATTGGAAAAAAAAACATCTGACCAATAAAATAAAATAACATATCAAATTTAAATTTAATTTAGAATATCTAATAATATTTTGCCCAAATGAGTTAAAAGTTAAATCATTTTAAATACTAATAAATTTATAGAATTTAAAAAGTTAGAATATAAAAAGTTTTCTTACAACATAAAATTAAATTTTTTTCTTTAATTATCGGTACTAATAAATGTATAGGATTTTAAAATGTTAAAATTCAAAAAGTTTTGTACCACATAAAATTAATTTTTTCTTTAATCATAATTCATATTTGAAGAGTTTTAGAATTTCAAAAGCTTTTGTAACTTTTTATTCTCTGCTACTATAAACATAGGCTTTCTTCCACCATTTTTTCCACAACATTAAAATATCTTAAGATGTTGGTGTCATATTCACCAAGTTACAAAAGATACACGTGTCAAATCTATATATCTCGAATACCAAGTTAGGCTTGCGACATTACCGTTTTACAATCTATATCTATACTATATTAAAAAGGGAGAATGTAGGAAAAACATTTTTGTACACTTTTTTCCCTTACTAAATTTACTAATTTACAAACTATGCAACTAAAATACATTATTATAAATATTAAATTAATTATTAATACTAATAAATTTATAGAATTTAAAAGGTTAGAATGCTAAAATTTTTCCTACAACATAAAATTAATTTTTTTATTTAATTATCAATACTAATAAATGTATAGGATTTACAAAGTTAGAATGCAAAAAGTTTTCCTACATTTTTTCTTTAATTGTAATTCATACTAGAATTTGRAGAGTTTCAAGAATTTCAAAAGCTTTTGTAACTTTTTATTCTCTACTACTATAAAAAGGTATCTTCCACCATTTTTTCCACAATACTTTTCACTACTTTGTTTTTAGTTTTATCAAAACATCTCT